GGGGTGATGTGTGGTGTGTGTGTGGAGTCTGCGTGGTGTGTGGTGTGGGTGTGGTGTGTGGGGGCGGTTTGTGGTGTGGGGTGTGTGTGGTGTGTGTGTGGTGTGTGTGTGTGGTGTGTGGGGTGTGTGTGTGGGTATGGTGTGTGGTGTGTGTGGTACGTGTGTGGTGCGTGTGTGGTGTGTGTGTGTGGTGTATCTGGTGTGTGTGTGTGGTATGTGTGGTGTGTGTGTGGTGTGTGTGGTGTGTGTGTGTGTGTGGTGTGGGGGTGGGAGGGTGTGCACGCATGAGTTTAACACATTTGACTAACATAGGAAGGGTAAGGAGGCGTGGAACGGCTCTAGTTGCTCAGAACGCAGTCTTCCCCCCTGGCCCTGCCTCTCGGAGGCTTCGTGAAGGCAGAGGACAGGATTGCTCAGCACAGTAACTCCTGGCCTTCAGAGCTGCGAGCTCATTCACATACCCCAAAAGGCGAACTGCAGTTTGAACCCCAGCTGCCTGACTCCCATGGCGGGCCAGGGTGGCCGTGTCCAGCAGAGTCGGCAGCGCCCTGGCTCCCTCTCTTCCCCACAGGCGCTGAAGTACGCCTTCCAGACCCACGACCGCCTGTGCTTTGTGATGGAGTACGCCAACGGCGGCGAGGTGAGCCGCCCCCGCTTTCTGTGTGTCTCCTTCCCGAGGGTGAGTGTGGCGGCCAGACGGAGGGGGCGGAGGGAGCCTCCTGGCTGTCCGCTCCTTCCACCCTCCCGCACCTCGAGGCAGGTGTCGTCTTCCCATTCGCAGGTGGGGAAATGGGCTCAGAGGGGTCAAGGGCCTTGTCCAGGTTCACACAGCTAGTGGGTTGGTGGGCAGGGTACAGACCAAGGCACAGGGAGGTGTGGAGAGGGGACATCCCTGCAAAGAGCGCGTGCCAGTCCTCTGCTCTCCGAGCCCTGACGAGTCACTCGCTGTCACCTGATCCGGTCCTTCACACCTTTCTCTCTCGTGCAGATGGCAGATGTAGCTCGCTGGCTCACGATTGTGGGTTTCAGCCCATTTGGTCTCACAGCTGGTGGCACTTGCTCGTGACTTGTGTTCCTCTGCTTTCTCGCTGTCACGTTCTCATTCACCGTCCCTTCGTGTCATCTTCCCTTGCTTTCCCCTTGGTGCCTGCTGTCAGCCCTTTACTCTTCATCCCTTGCTCATTTTTTTTCTCACGGGAACTCTCATCGCCCCTCACTTGGTCCTTCTCGCTGTCACTTGCCGGTTTATGGAGCAGGTGTCACCAGGTCACTGGGAAGGGTCCCATCATTCCTCCCCCGCCCCCTCCTTTGGCAGCTGTTCTTCCACCTGTCCCGGGAGCGCGTCTTCACGGAGGAGCGGGCCCGCTTCTACGGCGCAGAGATCGTCTCGGCCCTGGAGTACCTGCACTCGCGGGACGTGGTTTACCGTGACATCAAGGTAGCACGCGGTCGCCTCCTGGCGAGGGCCCTTCTGAGCCTCTTACGAGCAGACAGACGCTCCTGTGCAGCCGGAGGGTGTACATGGATTGGTACCAGCACTTTAGAAGATGCTCTGGCAGAATCCACCACCATGAACATAGGGGTGCCCTGTGAGCCAGCCATTGTGCCCTAGCCATGTGCACATCAGGACAGACATGCTCTTAGCACTTTCCACACTAACCCCAGACTGGAAGCAGCCCGGCTGCCCGCTGCTCAGAAAGGATCAAGTCATGCGCTGTGTTCGCACTCTGGGGTTTGCATAGTTTTCAGAGAGAACAAAGTCCATGGACATAGCTCACGGGCTGAGGTCGACAGGGAAAGCTAGGATACAGCACGAATCTGTCGATTATAGGTGTACGCGTAGGTGGGAGAAGCTGCAAGGAAGAGCAGGGAGTAAGGTGGTTTCTCTGTCAGGCAGGGGGTGGATCTTCGCATGGAGCGGGTGCGTGGGTCCGAGGGGCTGGTGGTGATCTCTCCTCACCCGGGGGAGGTCATACAGAAGCCAGTCGCATGGAGCGGGTGCGTGGGTCCGAGGGGCTGGTGATCTCTCCTCACCCGAGGGAGGTCATACAGAAGCCAGTAAATTGCCCATTTGTATGAAGTTTAGTAAAAAATAGAAAAAGATGGTGTCCCCACATTCAGAGTTGGACAACTGCAGCTCAGTGGGGGAGGTGGCTTGGGCAGGGCCTGGCTCCACCTCTGCCCTGCTTCTCTCCGGCTTCTCTGGAGGGCAGCTGGGCGCTGGGGGGCTGTTGGCGGCTGGCCTCCCTCTGAGTCGCAGAGGGTGAGGGCTTAACCCTGTGCCGGGGGTATGCCCCATGGCCCAGCCTGGAGCCTCTGGTGTGACAGCTGCCACCCCAGGCCACAGCCCCCTCCAGGGCAGGTTTGGGCATCTGGGGTCTCGGGGCTGGCAGGAAGCCCGGGCAGGACATGTTCCTGATGCACTGACTTTTCCTACAGCTGGAAAACCTCATGCTGGACAAAGATGGCCACATCAAGATCACTGACTTTGGTCTGTGCAAAGAGGGCATCAGTGACGGGGCCACCATGAAAACCTTCTGCGGGACCCCGGAATACCTGGCACCTGAGGTGTTTGGGGCTGGAGGTCCCAGGGGCTTGTGAGGCCAAGGGAGGTGGGGCCCTGGGACCGTGCATTTCCCTTGCCCAGATGCTCTGATTCCTTAGGTCACCCTCCTCAGCTCCAGGTGGGGCCTAGTTCCCGCTTGTCCCTGGGCCCGTCAGCTCCTAGGCCCCAGAGTGTGGGCCTGGCCCCTCACGGCCCCTCCCTGCCAGGTGCTGGAGGACAACGACTATGGCCGGGCAGTGGACTGGTGGGGGCTAGGCGTGGTCATGTACGAGATGCTTTGCGGCCGCCTGCCCTTCTACAACCAGGACCACGAGCGCCTGTTCGAGCTCATCCTCATGGAGGAGATCCGCTTCCCGCGCACGCTCGGCCCCGAGGCCAAGGCCCTGCTTGCTGGGCTGCTCAAGAAGGACCCAAAGCAGAGGTGAGGGCCAGAGTCTGCCCTGCCCAGCCCAGCACCACTTGCTGCCACTGTCCCCTCGGCCTGGAGGGGCAGTGTCCACAGGCACATTCGCTCATGCTTGTGTGGCGTGTGTTGTCCCCACACTACCGCTGATAACAGCCCCTGTAGCTGGCCCTTGAGGGACACTCCTGTAGGGCCAGGCCTGGTCTTACCCTCTGCCTACACTGCTTGTTTTATGGGGACACTGTGGAGCAGAGCAGCCCTGTGCCTGGCCTAGGGTCATATGTGGCAGAGCCAGGACGTGAGGTGGCCTCTCAGCTCGCATTCCGGACCAGGGCCAGGCCGCTGTCTCCTACTCTGCCCCTGGGCACGGGAGCGCTCTCCCGCTTCGCTCTCCTCCTCTGTGAAGTGGCCAGGACAGAGCCATTAAAGACCTGCACCGAAAGCCTGTCCCCCAAAACCCGGCGGTCTCGGGAGGCAGGTGCTCATGGCCATCTCTGCCCAGGCTTGGCGGGGGGCCCAGTGATGCCAAGGAGGTGATGGAGCACAGGTTCTTCCTCAGCATCAACTGGCAGGACGTGGTACAGAAGAAGGTGAGCATCACCGCCTGCCGCCCGTGGGGGACCTTGGCCGGGGCCTCCCATCCTCCGGGTCCTGAGCCTGGGCTCTTCCTGTCTGCAGCTCCTGCCACCCTTCAAACCTCAGGTCACGTCTGAGGTTGACACAAGGTACTTCGATGACGAGTTCACCGCCCAGTCCATCACAATCACACCCCCGGACCGCTGTGAGTGTCTGAGGCCCTGAACCCACTGGGCCTGGCCAGGGGTTGGTGTATGTGTGTTGGGGTCGTGATTCTGCTCCTGACCCAGTTCTCTAGGAGGAAGCTTACGGGGCTTTTGTTGTTGGGTCGCCTGCAAAAGTTAGGGTCACCAAGAGCCATTGGCTACATCACATTCCAGAGGTCGGGACAGAGGTCAGGGCAGGTGACCCTTGAGAAACTGTCAGTGCTGAGATGGCAGCTCCACAGTCATCTTTCCAAGTTGCCCAGGTCTTTGGGGCTGGATTGGTTCATTGCCCCTGCAGCTGTTTTGAGTTCTTACTCAGCTGCCAAGTGCTGGGCTCTGCTGGAGACGCAGCAGTGATGGAGACACCCCTGGGCCCTGCCCTCAGGGAGCTCCCAGTCCAGGTGGGTGACAGGGCTAGCGTGTAGGGGCACAGAGACTGGGGAAACCCAGACCAGATGCCTGACTCAGCCTGTGGTCAGATAGGACTTCCTGGCGGAGGAGACATGGCAGCTGAGACACATTCCTGGGAGAATGAATGGCATATGGGATGCCCAGAAATGCGAGCATTGCAGAGGTCAGAGTAGGTGGAGGGAAGGGGAGAGGGCTTGGGGGCCAGAGCAGTAGGATCTTGGGGACCACTGGGAGGAGTGGGCACTTGCGTGTGGAGCCATAGAAGAGTTTTGTGTAGAGGAGGGGGCAGGTTGCATGAGAACTTTAGAAGGACCTTCGGCTGCATGTGGTTGGAGGATTGTTGGGGACGGAGTGGTGGCCAGGTCAGGGGCTGGTCTGTAGAGATCTGGGTGGGCTGCAGTGGACCACCCTGGTGAACCGAGATGTGGGTGGGGAGGAGAGGCTGGTTGGCACTCAGGAGACTGAGTGAACAGCTCTGGGGGCGGGGCTCCGGCCTGGGGGCCTCTGTCAGGGAGGAAGTCTCATGGATGCCTCACCAGCTGGGGGTTCATACTGTGGTCTGCCTGCAGTCCTTGCTGGGGCTGGTCCCCCTCTGCCCCCAACCCCGGGAATCCAAGCGGGGTGCTCGGCCCTCTGCAGGCCGATTCTCCCCAATCCACCTCCACTGACCCCCGCAGATGACAGCCTGGGCTCGCTCGACATGGACCAGCGGACCCACTTCCCCCAGTTCTCCTACTCGGCCAGCATCCGCGAGTGAGCAGTGCTGCCTGCCCGCCGCTGACGCCGCCATAGGACACACGCACGGCTGCCATCACCGCCGGGGGGCTTTGTCCTTTTTTTTTTTTTTAACTTTTTGCCTTTTTCGTTTGCATCTCCATCCGTCACCCCCTCACCCCCATTTCCAGTTTTTCCTTCAGCCCTCTGCCAGACTCCCCTCAGCGGACCCAGCAGCCCTGCCTTCAGGATCCGTCCTGTCCTCATCTCTGTGCCCGGAGCAGGACTAGGGAGACTCCGCCACCTGCCCCAGGACCCAGCTTGTGGGTGGCTGGGGGATTCCGTTTTTAATCAGCACAAGCCCCAGTGAAGGGTGAAGGTGGAGTGGGGGACCTGCCTGGATTTCTGGCCGGGCGCCCACAGGCAGCCTGCCTCTGCGCTGCTGCCGCCCTCGGAGGCTGCCTTCTGCTGGGCCACCTGGTGGACGGGACAGCATCGTGGGGCTGCCTTCCAAGCCTGCCGTTAGGCTCCAAGTGGCCTGGAGAGGGGGTTGCCAAGCCGCCTCCCCCCATGGGGGCAGAAGAGCAATAATGTCTAGGGACAGGCGCGGCCTTTGGGAGCTGCAGGAACAGAGGTCTAGGGCTTTCTCATGCGGCTGGGGCCCGGGTACCCTGTGGGGCATCTGGAGGGGCCCGGGGTGGGGGCGCTGCCCCCTCCACGCCCCACGCTGCTCTCTGGCCCTGCAGACGAGGCAGGAGGAACATTTGGGGGTGGCCTCCCCCGCCCCCCAGCCCCGTGCCTTACCAGGGCTTCCTTCCAGCTGGCCTTACCTCCCGCTGGACCCGGGCCTGGCCCTGGCCCCTTGGAGGACGGGGGCCGGGATCGTCCCTTCTCTCTGCCTGGGGCGGAGCGGCAGCAGCCTCAGCTGTTACACATCTCGCACCGAGACAGTATTGGGCCCCATGGACTCGGGTCAAGGAGGGGATGGGGTTGGTGTCTCCAGTATGTTCGGGGAGGGGGGTGGGGCCTGTGAGAAGGGAGGCTCCAGGCCACCTCACCCCCTCCCCCTCTCTCATCCCCACGTTTTGCAGCCTTAAAGTGAACGTGTCAGTGCTCTGGGCACTCGTGAGTGTGCCTCGGACTGTGTGTAGGCGGCCCTGTGCATCTGGGACACAGATGCACATGGGGGGTGTGCGTGCGTGCGTGTTGGGTATGTGTGTGTGAGGGCAAGTGTGTCCCAGCCTCGAGTGTGGGTGCTGTGTGTGGGTTCGGCACCAGTCCCTGGCCCGAGCATTTCATCCCCGGGGAGGGGTGTTGGCCTAGCTGGGGAGCCACACCTGAGGGTCACTTGCTGCCCTGTCCCTCCCCCCCTTCCCACCAACATCTCCAGGTGTTTGGAAGGTAGTTTTTGTGGCTTCGATCTCCTCCCCCCCGCCCCACCACCTCCTGTACTAGGTAGTTCACAGAGAGACATCTTGGGGTGGGGGGGTTGGTTTAGAGGGGTGTGGGGGGGTCTCTTCCTCTTTGTGTGCGTATGTCATTTATCTGACAATTCTCCCTCCTCCCCAGTGGCCCTTCCCCATTCCTTGTATTTGTACGGTACAAGCAATAAAGACACGCGTTTCAGACTGGGGCCACCATCCTGGGCCTTTGCTTGCAGCTGGCCCCTGGCGCCAGCCGCGTCCTGCTCCCACTGCTCGGTCAGGTGGGCCCATCAAGCCCCGAGGGGGAAGCAGGTGGAGGGAGCATCTGGGGCGGGGGTGTCGTCGAGCTCAGGCGGAGAGGGAGAGGGCTGCTGGGGGTGGAAACTGCTGAGAAGTTTGGGAGGGCTCCCTGGGCCTGGGGTGGCTGTGTGGTGGACAGAGACCATCCCAGGCCTTCAAGCTGCTTAGGCAGAATGAGGTGGGGTGGAGGGCCTGGTGTGGGAGGGTTGGTGGCTCTGAACGAGGAAGGTGCAAGGTGTCACTCAAGGCGGGCAGTGAGCTGAGGGAGCACATTCACTTCCCATGGCCCTTAGGCCCTAGAGCGGCGTCACTAATACAAGTGGTGACTGTCAGCTGGGAGCACCTCAGGGTGGGTCACAGCCCTCACAACTCTGAGAGTCCCGTGACAGCTGTCCCCTTTATCGTGGCATTCCCATGCTCGAATCACTTCCCCCGGATGCTGGGACCAGGGCTGCCCTGCTGAGCACAGGTGAATTCAATGTCCAGTTTTGCGAGAAGCGATTAGGGCTGCACACGTGGAGTCTGAGATCTTAGGTGAGGGGGACAGAAAAGCTGAACGCAGTTGATGGACATCTGCATCAGCACAGCCAAGACAAAGAATTGGGCATTTTCTTTCCTAATTTCATATGGACTTTATTTAATGACACAAATGTGACCTCGTGGTCATAAGGTAAACCATAGAGAGGCTTATAAAGAAAAGATTTTTACTCTCCTAGTCGCAGCCCCGAGGTGACCGTACTAGAGTCTTTCCCACGCCGCGTTGTCCCTGGCTCTGTGTCTGGTACTCGCTCTGTGAGCGCTCGTGCCACGTTCCACAGATGGGCTCCTGCCAGCAACCTGCTGCCTCCCTCCGTTGAATGTCTGTCCTTAGATGTAGTGGTACTTTTTATTTCTGTAGAACGTTCCCCAAAGAGTTTTAGGTGGAAGAGTTTTAATAATAAAATTTCATCTATTAGAAAAACTAAAATTTGTGAGTAATCTGTCCTGTTACGTGCATGTGGAAAATTCACATGTTTTGGTTGTGTGTGTGAATAACACAAGCAACACAAAGTATGTGGAAGAAAATAAAAATGAGCAGATCCCAGGCCTTGAGTGCTTATTCTAGTACTCAGGTTACCTCTGTGCAGATGGAGGTGGCATTGTAAAAAGGCTGGTCCCTTCTTTTTTTGCCTGTCTTTTCTCCCCGTTAGTTGTGCCAAGCCCCTGGGCTGTATCCAGCCACCTCGTACTCACACTCCTGCCAACACGTGTGCATTCATAGGTGTGTGGGGTCATTGTTAAGATGAGATTCTCTTTTAGCTACTTTTCAGCGTTTAGGGGACTCCTCAGGGATGTTGCTGTCCTGCCTTTATTTTTTTCTTGCTACGAACAGTACTGTAATAAACCTTAATCCATTTTTACCATGCTTGAGCATTGTTTTTGGTGGCCTACATCCCAGGGTTGCTGCATTTTAATACGTGTCAGATAGCTTTCCAAACAAGTGTAGTGATTCACATATTTTTAACTTTGATTTTGAAATAATGGCAGATGGGTATAAAACTTTGAAACTTTTAAAAATAGTGCTTAGGTGTTGCTAGAACTGGAGCAAGAACTACATGAGATGAGCCTGGAGCATCTTGTAACACCCAGAAGTAAGGACCTGCTAAAAAAACACCTCACTGATGGGGGCATGGAAAGGGACCGAAGGGCTAATGGGCACAGCGCCCAGTGGCCAAAGCCGAAAGCAACTGGAGCAAAGTAAATAGCATAGCATTGGGTTATACCCAAAGTATAAAATGAGTCTGTACTGATAAATGATAAATGAGAAGAGACATCTCTACAGAATTCCAGATAATTTCTGTAGCTACTCTGCCTTCAAGGAGGGGGACACAACCCCGACTCTTCAGATGTGGGACTACAAAGAGCCTTCTTTCAAAAAGGACAGTTTAAGAAGGAGGAAGAGGCTGACAAACACACCAGCTGGTGAGCGAGGTCAGTGTCAGCGGCAATGAGGTGCGTCGGCAGTTATGTGTCTGACCCGCTGCAGTTACTGTGGTACTTCACCTCTGTGACCTTCCCCAAAATGGATTTCCCCATTCTGAGAAAGGAAACAGGCAAATCCCAACTGAGAGACATTCTACGAAATACCTGACCACTAGTTCTCGAAACTGGCCAGGTTGTTCAAAACGAGAAAAGCCTGAGAAACTGTCAGAGCCAAGAAAAGCCTTAGGAGACATGAAGACTGTAATGTATCCTGAATGGGATCCTGGAACAGAGAGGACATTAGGTAAAAAGTCAGGAAGTCTTAATAAAACATGGACTTTAATAACATATCCTTGTTGGTTCCTTAAATGAGACAAAATGGGGTATATGAGAACTCTGCAACTTCTCGTAAATCTCAATGTATTTATTTAGAAAATGTACAAAATATTCTCATCTCCCCCTCACACAGGTTCTCCTGGGTGTTTTACAGTTCCCTCCCTCATCCTCCATATTTATATATCCTATAACAAGAACATTCTCTTACAGAGCTGCAGCCCAGTAATCAAGACTAGGATGTCAACACTGAAATGGTCACACTAATGTCCTTGTATACGAAAGAAAAACTTCCTGGCTAGAGACTCCGTCCAGGCTCACAAGCTGCATTCAGCTGTCAGGCTTGACACTTGCAGGGAGGGCAGTTATTCTGCAGAACTGCCCCTCCGTTCGGGACTGTTGCCGGATGTTTCTTCGTGGTTATATTCATGCTGTTTTTGGCAGAAATTCCCAGAAATGATGTGCGCTTTTCAGTGCATCCTATCAGGAAGCACGTGAGATGATCTCTCCCATTACTGGTGGTGACTGACCCCTTGGTTAAGGTGGTGTCAGGTTTCTCTGCTGTAAAGCCACTATGTTGCCTTTATAGTTAGTATCTTGTGTAGAGATACTGGAGAATGTAAATATCTGGGTTCTCACCAAGTGTCAGGTGATGGGAACAGCAAGCACAAAAGCCCCTGACGTGTTTGGGGAACAAAAAGAGGACAAGGTGTCTCAAGTGGAGTGAGGGAAGGGTAGAGCGGAAGGAAATGAGGTTAGAGAGAGAACACGGGGCCAAAGGGACCTTGTGGCCAAGGTAAGGAGTTTGGTTTTAAGTGTGACAGGAAGCCATTGGTCCAGCATCTCACACTTTTCTCTCTGCTTGCTTTTCCAGCCTCACTGGCCTCTCAATGCCTGAAAATAGGAAGCTCTTTTCTACCTCAGGGCCTTTGCTCAGGCTGTTTCCTCCATTTGGGATATTCTCCCCTCTCTCTGCATTCCTGGCTCTTTCAGTTTTCAGCTCCAATGTCACCTCTTCAGAGTGGTCCCTCGAGACCACTATTTCTAAGTTAAATTCAGCCTGTTCACTCATTCATCCAACAAATATTTATTGAGTGAGTGCTGTGTGCCCAGCCCTGTTCTAAGCTCTGGGACTACAGCAATGAAAAGCCCGAGAAGCCCTGTCTCATGGGGTTCACATTCTAGTCAGGAGGGAGACAATAAGGTGGTAAATGCTAAGAAGAGAATAAGTACAGAGAATGGGGACATAAAGTGCTCAGGATGACACTTTCATGGAGAAGGTAACATCTGAGTAAACACCTTGAAGTGTGGGGTCCGGGAGGGAAGAACATTTCAGGCAGGGGAAATGGCCAGTGCAAAGGCCCTGAGGTCGGAGCGTGCCTGGTGTGGGTGAGGACGAGCCAGGAGGCCAGTGCGGTGGGGGAGGGAGTGAGGGAGATAGCAATAGGAGATGAGCTCACAGGTGTGTGTGGGGTGGAGGATAATATAGGGCCTCGTGGACTTTCAGGGAGATGGCAACCATGATGGAGTTCTGAGCGGAGGCTGAGTGTGATCTGACTTACTAGGTGTGCACAGGATCCCTTCTGGCCGCTTGTGGGGGAAGCGACTGTAGGAGCTGGGGACAGGGAGGAGGCCGCTGCACTGGTCCAGACCGATTGCTGGGGACTCGGCCCCATCACCGGCTCAGCTGAGGGACGCGCTGGCTTGGAAAGGCAGCGGCTGCAGCTGGGTCGCTCACGGCTCAACTCCCACTGCAGGGAACACAGAGCTTCCATAAATATTCGTGAAGCGACTGGTAGGTCCCATGTCTTGAGTTTTGACTGTATTAAGCCCTGTGCTGGCCACTTAATAAAGACAAACTTATACAATCCTCAGGACAACTCTGTCGGCTGGATTTTGAAATAATTCCCGCTTCATAGCTGAAGAAAATGAGGCTCCGAGGGGCTGCTCTGGTCATGTAGTAAGTGGCAGGACGCGGGCTTGACTCCAGCTTCCTGATCTTACAGGGTTCGGAGCGGCAGAGCCGACTTGTGCTGCACCCTCCATTTCCAACGCACCTGCCCAGGTGAGGCGTGCTCAACGCGCATGCGCCCAGACGCATTTAAAGCGCCGCGCGCGGGGCCTTCTTCCATCAGGAAGGGGGTGGGCGCTCGGTTTCGCCCCTGATGCCAGTCAGGAGGATGCTGGTGAGATGCAAGAACCGGGGTCCCACCTCCCGCCTTGGGCCTCCCTGCAGGCGCTGACCTCAGCCCGTCTCCCCTGCAGAGTCCGGCTGCCTCCCTCGACCCAGAACCTCTGAGTGCCGCGGTCCCAGACGTCGTCCCCGCGGGCACGAGCGCTTCCCTAGGACGCCCGGAGAAGCCTCCGGGGTCGTGCGCGCCTCCGGGGCTGGAGGAGGCGCTCGGCGCCCTGGGGCTGCAGGGAGAACGCGAGTACGCGGGGGACATCTTCGCCGAGGTCTTGGTGAGAGGGCCGCCCCAAGCCCCGGAGGACAGCGGAGCCGGGCGGGTTAGCCGAAGCCAGAGCTGCCGAATTCGCCCGGCGCCCACTCGCCAGGCGTTTCTGAACTCCCTCCCGGCCAGCAGTCTGTCTCTTCCCGTCCCACTGACTTCCCCGCCCCGCCCCAAGTTCGCGGATTGGTTTTTCCCGCATAGTTACCCTCGAATGCCCTTCTCTATCCTCCCCAACCTGTTTGCAGCCCCTCCTTCGATATTTCAGAGCTCCTCGTTCGTCACTTCTATTCGTTTCAGAAATGTTTAGCGACTTATTAACAAGTGTTTTAGAGCATGTTCTAGGCACTGGGGATGCTGTGATGAACAACATAGACAGTCTGTCCTCATTGCGGGGAGACGCGCAAACAAATGTAGGTGATAATTTTAGAACGGCCACGAAGACCAAAACACAGGCCGTTGGTAGTCCACAGACATCTGTCTGAGACAGGCACTGTCAGAAGAAACACCGAAGGGACAAATTTAACGTGAGCGTCTCTCCGGGCCACGTCTCTGTTAGGAACCTAGATACAGCTGGCGTTGGGACAGTAATACCTGCCCTGTGATGTCTGCAGCCTAGTGGGGCAAACAGACAAAACAAACAAGGAAACACCGGCTCTCTCCAGACTGAAAAGTACTTTGAGGGAAATAAGATGATGAAATAGGAGTATGGGTAAAGTCGGGGAAATTTTAGTTAGGACTAAGGAGTCAGCAAAGGACCGCTTCAGGTGGAGGGCACAGTACACACATGAAAAGGCCCTGAGGTAGGAATGAGCTTGGCAGAGCCAGGGGCCAAAAGAAGCCTTGTGTGGCTGGAGTGTGACTTGAGAGCACAAAGAGGTGATGTTAGAGCAGGGGCAGGGCCCTGAGAGAGTCTGAAAGAAATTAGGATTTTCTCCTGACGGTACTTACTGGAAGCCCTGGAAGGGTTTTGAGCTGGGGAGCTCCTTGGCCAGGTTCGTACTTTGGTAAAGACCCTTCTGGGTGCTCTGAGGGTTGGTGACCACGAGTGGAGTCTGAGGATCCAGGGAGAGATGCCCCAGAGGTCCTGTGGCAATGGGGGCTGCAGACTGGAGAGATGGGTAAGGAGGCGACCAGAAAAAAAGTCCAGGGTTCAAGAGCAGCACGTCTGGAGATGCTGGAGGCCAGTTTGGGTTTGGCGCTCGTGTCATGTCCAGCTGGTGCGGGGATGCTGCGGCACCCAGGGCTGGACTCAGGAGAGAAGCCGAGGTACAGGTGCGGAGAGTGAGGCCGTCCCTGCCCAACCCCAGGTGTGCCGTGCGCCGCCCCGGAGGGCCCTGCCCCGCACCGTGACCCCGGAGATGCGCGCGCTAGTGGTGGATTGGCTGGTTCAGGTGCACGTACGTACCGGGGAGGGGGCGGCGCTGGGCCTGCGTCGCAACCTGGTGGTCACCCGCACTTTTCCCCAGGAGTACCTGGGCCTGGCAGGGGACACGCTCTACCTGGCCGTGCACCTGCTCGATTCCTACCTGCGCTCGGGCCGAGTGCGCCTACGTCACCTGCAGCTGCTGGGCGTGGCCTGCCTGTTCGTGGCGTGCAAAGTGGAAGAGTGCGTGCTTCCCGAGGTACTTCCGGGGCGGGGCTGGGAGGGCGGAGCCCTTACTACTCGCCGCAGTCCCAAGATGAACGCTCACTGTGCCGAGCACTGTGCCCAGCGAGTGCTTTAAGTCCTCTTGGAATCTCAGCAGACCTGTATAAGTTCGGGGCTATCAATGTGTCCCTTTAACAGAGAAGATTGAGGCCCAGCAGTTGGGACTTGGACTCAGTCTCGAATAGTTATAGTAGCTATAATTCTTCTTGAGTAGATACAGTTAACATGACCAACCTTAGTGCTTTAGCAGAACTGCGTGGTGAAGTAGGAGCAACATCGTCCTTTTACAGATGAGCTGAGTCTTAGAACGCTCCCGCGAATGTCCATGTCACGCAGTGCACAATTGGTAGAGTTTGAACTCGAACCCAGGTATTTCCGACTCTGAAGCCTCCGTTCTCCGCTACTTCCAGACAAATCAGTGGCTCCATTTTACAGACTAGGAAACAGAAGTCCAGAAATGGGACGGAACAGATCCCAAGTTACTCCATGGCAGGGAGTAACACCTCTTTCTCCACAATCCGCAGCCCGCCTCCCTTTGCCTCTTGGGCGCTGGCTCCTTCTCACAGGCCGAGCTTCTGCGCGCGGAGCGCCGTGTCCTGAGTCGCTTGGATTTCCGGCTGCACCACCCAGGTCCGCTCCTCTGCCTTGGGCTACTCGCTGCTCTGGCCAGGAGCAGTCCCCAGGTGAGCGGGGCGGAGGCGTGGCCTGCATGGACTTGGGGCGCGGCCTGCGAGGCTAGGGGCGTGGTCTGCTAGTCTCTGTGGCGTTGGCAGGTGATGCTACTTGCTACTTACTTCCTGGAGCTGTCTCTGCTGGAGGCCGAGGCCGCTGGCTGGGAGCCTGGTCGCCTTGCAGCTGCAGCGCTGAGCCTGGCGCACCGCGTGCTCGACGGGTCGGGCTCTGGGCTGGAGCCGGCATTTTACAGGTATGGACACGGCGGTGGGCCTCTCCACCCTCCTGAGAGTCGGCGACTTCAGAGATCTGCCTTTCTGGTTGCTGTCTTTAATTACCGTCACAGAGAATGAGAGACATTTATGGAGAAGGGGGACACGATGACCCCTAGACTTGATTTTTCTCAGTGTAGGAGAGAATGGGGTAGGGGGGAGGCGGATCCCATTTGCTTTTCTCTAGGGGCGTCTGAGAGCATGGCGGTGTTTATCCAGATCTGGGGACCCTTAATCTTGTCCAGGGTGTGAGATAGGATCTCCCAGGCCCAGAAGATGCTCTCACTGCGTTCCAGGGTTGAGAATGAGAGGTCTGCCAGCCTCGAGTTCCTCAGCTCACTAGCCGCGAACGGGGTGTCCCTTCATCTGCTAGAGCTCCCACCTCCCTGTTAACCCCGCCACCGAGGGGCAGAATGAATCGTCTTTGCTCCCAGCCCATGACCCTGCGTAGAGCTGGATGCGTGCTTGTCCTCATCCCCACTCCTTCCCTCCCCGAGGGCCCTGGCTCTCCCTAGCTGCGCCCTGTGGGGAGAATCGGGGGTCTGCCGCTCCTCGGCTCCCTCCAGGCACTCTAGATGAGTGTCCGACCTCGAGAGAGCCCCTGGGCAGTCCCCAGGGACGCAAGTCAACGCGTCTTCTCGGCCTCGAGTCCGCAGCTCCAAAGACAGGTCGTCTCCACCACTACCCCTTGCGTCCACCTCAGTTTCTCCGTTTCCCCGACGCAGCCCCGCGGAACTGGGCAGTCTCGAGCCGTGCATGGCCCGCGCCGCGCTCCGAGGCCCTGCACCCGGCCGCGCCGCGATCTTCCTCAAGTATGCGCGGCCCCAGCGCCATGGCACCAGCCTCGCCGCCGCCCGTCTGCTCCGCCGCCCCCAGCCGGGGCCGCCCTGAGACCCTATCAAAAAAGACTCCGTGTGTGTCCGCGTCCCACTTCAATAAAAGAGTTTTATTCCAAGCGCTCTCTGTCCTCATTGGTTGAATCCGGCCCTTCTCTCCCTTTCGATTGGTCAATTTCCGGTCCTCGCTTTTCTCTGATTGGATGTCCTCACCAAGTTCCTTAAGGGATGCGGATTCCGAACTCTTCCGCGAGGGGGCACTGGCGGGCTTCTGCAAGCGCTGCTCAGACGGATCCAACCCGGATCCCAAGCGCAAACCCTTTCAGGAGAGGTGCGCAGAGATGCTAAGAGGAAAATCGTAACACAAGCTGAGTGGTCCTCAGCCTCAGGGTTGGGAAGAATTTAGGAGGGATGGGAACTGTGGGAAACTGAGAATGCCCGTCCCAGTCATGAATGCTACCTGGAGGTTGCCAGATTTTCAGATTTTATTCAAGTGAAGATGAAAATCTGCAATTTCATAAATATCTCTGCTTTTATATGTTGGATGCTAATTCAACATTTTTTTAGTGGTTGCACAAGTACAACACATCACATATGCTGACCTGCGAGGGTCATCAGTTTGTAACAGTACAGATCTTTGATGGCAAGAGTTTGGAAAATGGGACCTGATTTACTTAACCTCATTGAGGTGTGATGAGGTTGTAAGTTAACATACTCGTAAAGCTTTAGGGCATCGCCTGATATCTAGTGAGTGTTGTGAAAGTGCTCGCACTGCATCCTATCGGGACCGTGAGTCAGGACAGTGGTCCCCTGTTTCTACCTAGCCCCTTGCACCTAGCCATTTAGTAGGTGTTCAGAAAATATGTTATGAATCTCTACGTTTTAAATTAAAACAAAAACATACCTGAGGTGCAGAAAGGTGACCTCACTTCTCTGGAATTCAACCTCAGGAATATTAGACTTAACTAAGCCAGGTTTGGAGGTGCAGAGAGGAGGAAGTTTCTGCCCTTGAAATGTTCAAGATTGGAGGACCAGGGATGGGGGAGAGACTCACTTAGCAAAGCACAATAAGAGATAGAAGCGGATACTGCTTTGGGATGGAAGGTGCCCTGTTCAGGTTTGGGCCTGTTGGTTGGAACCCACCAGGGGACCTCCAGGGAGAGTATGTGCGGTGGTAGAGGGAGAGGACAGTGGAAATACAAACCTGGTGCTTGGAACTGAGACCGAAACTAGGGTCTTGTGGGGATGGAAGAGTTAATAAAGTCACTCACTCACTCACTCACTCACTCACTCATTTAACAATCATGTACAGATGCTGACTCAGAGCCAGGCACTTCTGATCGCCTACCTCACAGTCTCACAGATGATAAGAAAGGTTGTTAGTTGCCCATTACTGTACCGGGCCCTGTGCTAAGTGCTTTATCTGCATAACATAATCCAGTCCCTGCAACTACTCTGACGTAAACTCATGTGTTATCCCCATGTCACACAGAAGGAAAGCAAGGTAAGGCAGATCAAGGAACTTGGCCAAGATTCCACTGCTAAGTAAGTGGCTAAGAAGGGTTGAAGGACAAGTCTCGGTTTTTCTCTCAGAAGCCTCTCACGTTTCCTTTTCTGTACACTCCTTTACGATTGTGCTGCTCACTCTGGGCTGTCACTTACTTGCTTTTCCCACTGGTTTTCCTACCCAGACAGTGAGCTTGATGAGGGCAAGAAGCAGATGTCTCTTGTCCATACAGTTATCTTCTCCTCCAGGAAGCCATCACTCACACAACCTGTCTAGGGCAGGCGCCTCCTCTGGGCCCTCAGAGCCTGTTGTGCATCTTCCATCCTGGACTTGACTCCTCTGCCCGTGCCTCTCCCATCCCACCATGGCCACTTTGCCTCAGCTTCTCCAGCTAGCCTCCTCTGTGTTGTCATCGGCCGATGCTCTGTCTCCCCAGTGGATTCGGGGCCCAGTGAGGGTACGACCTGAAGCTCTCTCACTCCCTGCTATGTTCCAGCATCACCCAGCCCAGAGCTGGGCACGGAAAAGATATCAGTGAATACCTGTTTATTGCATAGATACACGAATGAGTTTCAAAGTTGCTATCATTATCCTATGTTACTGATGAGGATACTGGGTTCCAGGTAATTTAGGTGATTTGTCCAAGTCATACAAATAGTGAAAAAATAAGCAGGGAATTGAAACTGGGCAGCTCGAATCCATAGCCTGTGTCCCTATCCAACATGCCAAATGCCTAATGGTCTGAAAACCAGCTTTCCACGAGGTTGATATCCTCTTGCTCTTTCCCCTAGACTTGTCCTTTCCTTCTAGAAAGCTTCGGGAGCTTCGGGCAAGGGGGAGGAGAGCAGGCGGGGAGAGTAAGAGGCGTGGGAAGGAGAGAAAGGCAGGCTGGAGAATGAGGACTGGGCTAGTTTGAAGGAGAGAATGGGGAAGTCTTGAGGGGTTTCTCTAGACCCATAGGGGGCAGCCGGAGTCGGCTGCCGGAGGTGCGGGGGCGGAGAAAGGGTGGGGACCGGCCTCGCGGGGGACGATGCGGTAGCTGCAGCGGCGGCCGCAGGAGTTTCCCACAATGCAGCGCGGTGCGCTGTCCCCGGTGCTGATGCTCAGCGCTGCCCCAGAGCCTCCGCCGCGTCCGCCTCCCGCCCTTTCCCCACCCGGCCCTGGCCCCCGCCATGGCTCGGCAAAGCCCAGTCCTGCCCCAGAGCCGTCGGGGGGCCTGGGCGCGGCGCTCGACAGCAGCCTGCGGGCCGCCGTGGCGTTCAAGGCGGAGGGCCAGCGCTGTTACCGAGAGAAGAAGTTCCGGGAAGCCATCGGCAAGTATCATCGGGCACTGCTGCAGCTGAAGGCGGCGCAGGGTGCTCGCCCTGGAGGCCTGCCTGCCCCTACCCCTGGGCCCACTACCAGCCCAGGGCCGGCCCGCCTCAGCGAGGAGCAGCGGCGCCTGGTGGAGAGCACGGAGGTGGAATGTTACGACTCTCTCACGGGTACGCGGACGTCGTGGGGCGCAGAGGGTGCATATGTGACAGGGATGAGTAAGAGGCAATCATGAAGCCTTGGGCGGGGCGGGGGCTGGAGGCTTAAAGGGGCCAGGGCTGGGTTCTGTGGGGGGAGACCTCCGAACTTATCAAGGAGAGGGGTCGGGCTGTAGGGGACCACAGGGATGAAAAGAGCTGGGATGCAGGAAATGGGCTTTGGGCTGCCACCCGCGACCCTCAGGTGAGAAAAGCTTACCCTGGATGATCCCTATCCCTCACCTGAGAGCGCCCTTAGTAGTACTTCCCCCCTACGGAAATCGCCCGCTAGCGCGTCTGTGTTTTTTGCGCCCTCTAGCGGCGGCGCAGATTGAGTCTACTCTAACTGGTCAGAAACTCCGAAGCCCCCTGGTTGCCTGAGAAATCCATTAGGCCCCGCTCAGCCTTGGGATAAGGTGGATTTTCCCTGCAGCCTGAAAGCCAGGCTCCTCGCGGTCAGGTGAGGTCTCGGGGTGCCGGCAGGCTCTGAGAGAACCGGTCCCGATGCCCCGCAGCCTGCCTGCTGCAGTCGGAGCTGGTGAACTACGAGCGGGTGCGCGAGTACTGTCTCAAGGTGCTGGAGAAGCAGCAGGGCAACTTCAAGGCCACCTACCGCGCCGGCATTGCCTTCTACCACCTAGGTGACTACGCACGCGCGCTACGCTACCTGCAGGAGGCCCGCAGCCGGGAGCCCACAGGTGAGGTGAGGGGCGGGGCGGAGCAGGGAGAGGGGCTGACGCAGAGGAACCAAGGGGCTCCTGGCCAGGGCAGAGCTACTTCGAGGGAGTGCTGTACTACCCACCCTATTCCACCTCCCCCACCTGCCCCTTACGCACCCACTCATCCACTCACCCGCCATTCAGATGTCCACTCACCCACTCTTCCTTGATATTCACCTAACCACCTCCCATCTAGTCATTGACTCATCTTGATGCCTCCCACTCGGCAGCTCCCTCATCCACTCACCCCCTCATTTCCATTCCCCCACTCATTCATCCGCTCACTCATTAACCCATCCCCACACTCATCTATTCATTCACCTGTTCTCCCGGCCACCATTTGTGCAGCACTTACTGGGAGTCGGAGCCTAGGGTGGGCAATGCCAGGAAATTTGCTGAGGGGTAGTATGGGGGGTTGGCAGAGCTGGAAGCTTGTTCTTTGCCCTCTGGGAGGTCAGTCAGGGAGTGTGTGTGCGCGCGCGCACGTGCGTGCGTGCACGGACAATACAGTTCTGTATTAAGAGCAATGAAGAGGGAGAGCAACTGGTGCATGGCCCAGGGCCATGGGAACGGAGGCAAAATGAATTTCTGGTAAGTGGTTTGGAGAGAGCAGGCTTCTTGTAGTTTTGATTGGTTGAGTGTGACCA